CAGTGACTGAACTGCAGATTTTCCGGTGACCTCTTTATCAGCACAAAGGCCGTTCTGCCAGTGGCTACTGCTAACCTGTTGGCCCAGTGTTGTAGAGAGTCAAGTACATCGTCTCAATCTTCCTCCTCAACTGAATTACTCCTCATATACAAAATTGGTGCCTAGACCATATTTTGCATTGTTGTAGTGTTTGTAGAGCAGGTTTATACGTGTGCACTTTCTAACTTGTTCTGTGAGAGCTATATTTATAATGGTCGCAAGTGAGAGATATTGAGTGGATAAAACCTGACACTATTCAGTCCTTGTCAGTTGGTCATTTACAGAGAAAGACCAGTTACAAGGTTAGAGTGGAGGCTACTCTCATCTCCTGTTAGGACTCAATCGTTTCACCTGACAGAGATGACAAGGGAAGCAGGTCAGAGATAGGCTAATCTTTTGGCTCACTGTAGCTCTCATGTTTCACATTATTAGAGCGTTATTCACCTGTCTCCTGCTCCATACAAATGTCCTCCTGAATAATTCAGCTCTACACTGAAATGAGTCTGCAGTTACACCAGTGTTTAGCTGCCAACTCAGTAGTGAGATAGCTACAGTGCAGTCCTGTAGCTTTCCACTAGAGATGAGTAGTTAATATCTATCTGTCTCTGCCGTCTCTGTCTTCCCAGGTTCTACTCGGCTGAGATCATCTGTGGTCTGCAGTTTTTACATTCCAAAGGCATCATCTACAGGTCAGAGCAAAATGCTTTTTACATCTGGATGGACAGTACTGTACATAAACTTAAAATGACCACACTAATAATTTTTCATGTTTTCACACACAAACTATAATACTATATTCTTTGTATCACAGCTGACTATTTTGGTTTATTTCCCTTTCTTCCACAAGACCGTTGATTTCAGTTCAGTTGCAATTGCTATGTGAAATTTACAGAGATTGCTTGGTTAGGTAATCCCACGCATATTCACACCTTTTTTATGAAATGATTGTGTGGTAATGCAGTTGTGAGCAGGGACTGTTTAGAAGACTGCCATTGTGGTTACAGTCCAAAAGGTAAACTCAGAAGAAAAACAATGAAATGTGAATTCAGTAAAGATGAAAATGTGAATTTGTTCAGATCTTGCTGTAGAAAAGCTAAAATCTCAAATCTCAGGTATAGTGTAACTGCTTGCAATTACATAAGCATGTAGGACTAATATAACTTTTATAACATTTCTGGTAAATTAACACAGACAGTGGACTAAATATTCACTTCTTGATTTTTTTTTAAGCAAAAATGCCAAAAATTTTCAGAATTTGTCTTATGTGATAGTAAATTCAATATCTTTGGGTTTTGAAATGTTGGTCAGACACATGGTTACTTACTGGCAGATTAACATATTAGAATTGTTCGTTGCAGCCCTTATCTCAGGCAAGTTTCAGATCTCTACCACATTTAGATTTTCAAATTACAGGGAAATGAACTGAAACCAATGGCTTCCTGGAAATAAACATTCAACTTAAGTAAATGCAATTTATAATTAATGCTTAAATCATCCAAACTCACTCCTTCCCCTTAAAAGCATTTTGTAAGTCATGAGTTATAAGGTTCTTTCTGGCTTGAGTAATGTTCTAAAGCAATGAGTGCTCAAGATTTCACAGTCCAGCTGGAAAAGCTTTTAGGTGCTTTTTTTTTTTATCACACATATAATCCTCTAAAAGTTAAATAAAATAATGAAAGCCTTAGGTAGTGTTGTAAAGTATTGATTATCCAATCCTGCTGTGATTATTTTGTTTCCAGAGATCTAAAGTTAGACAATGTGATGCTGGATCATGAGGGACATATAAAGATAGCTGACTTTGGGATGTGCAAGGAGAACGTGTTTGGAGAGAATCGTGCCACGACTTTCTGTGGTACTCCTGACTACATTGCTCCAGAGGTATAGTGCTTCAAATTTAGAGAGACACTCTTGTTTTGAAATACTCAAAACTGCAACTGAATTGTTTTTATCTGCATATAAAACAAGTGTGGTAATTCTTATTTATAATGTGTTTCAACTCAGATCCTGCTGGGACAGAAATACTCGTTCTCAGTTGACTGGTGGTCTTTTGGGGTGTTGCTGTATGAGATGCTGATAGGACAGTCACCTTTCCATGGAGATGATGAGGATGAGTTGTTTGAGTCCATCCGCATGGATACTCCCCACTATCCTCGCTGGATCAACAAGGAGGCCAAGGACCTGCTTGAGCGGGTCTGTACCATACGTCTCATACAAATACCATCTGTCATATGACTCCATTTCTGCTTATTGGAATATGTGGTATTTCCATGTTTTATTATTTTATGGCTGAAATTTAAAGATCATATGATCCTGTATTGGAGAAGAAAATTCTACAGCTCTTGGGTTGATGAAATTTGTTCAAATCCACTTGGACAGTTTCAACACTGTGCTCTTTTTATGTTGTAATGGTGCATATTCTTACTTAATTTTACTGTTTCCCTGCAGTTGTTTGAGAGAGACCCCACCCGCAGGCTAGGAATCGTGGGTAATATCCGTTTACACCCCTTTTTCAAGACCCTTAACTGGCAGGCCTTGGAGAGGAGGGAGGTTGAACCGCCATTCAAACCCAAAGTGGTATGTCTCACACACAAATCGGTTGGGGTTAGACTGTGATATCAGTTATTGGTTTTGTTTACATAAATCTAAAATCTTGTGATGGCCTGTTTAGCTGAGATATGTTTGTGGTCAATTACAGAAAGCACCGAATGATTGCAGCAACTTTGATCGAGAGTTCCTCAGTGAGAAGCCTCGTCTCTCCTTCAGCGATAAGAACTTCATAGACTCCATGGACCAGTCGGCATTCGCTGGTTTTTCATTCATCAACCCCAAGATGGAGCACCTTTTAGAATAGAGACTGTTTTAATGACAGTTAGACTCAGGTCACATCCCAACTGTTTACGGGACAGTTCTCTTAATATGTCGCAGATGAATGAGCTGTTCCACAGTCAGTATTTTTGTGACCTTATTTTAAGCACAAACTGTTCTCCTTGGGTACGTATAGAAATGATAAGAGTAGAAACGGGCCCTTGTACTGTATATATTGATGTTATTGTATTTGTGTGCATGCTTATTATTTGTCTAGGTTGGAAAGGCCTGTATGAGTAATAATATTAGAGCGGGAGGCTGAAAATCCTTACATTCCACTTGACGTCACTGCTACCATCTGCAGCCATTTTGTGTCCCTTTTGGTAACATTTAGTTCAACCCAACTGAAACTGAAAAATTATGATGAGGGAAAGAAACCCATAGAAATAAATCTGTACTGTATACTTCAAATGTAGGTTGTTTGTGTGAATGATCTGACTGCATGTAAAGAAATCTCAGAGCAACAAAAATGTGTCCATGTTTAAATATAGCCTAATAATGACTGTTATGTGTCTATGAAACATCTGATCTTTTGCCTTTGACTGGATAAATCATGTCTGTCTTGCTGACAAAGAAGAACTTGTGGTTTTGTGGTTGACTAAACAGTGCCATGTAAAGATCAAATTTTAGCAGACCTGCAGCTGGTCTCAGCTGTATGGAAAGGTCTTATCTGGGGACGGGGAGAGATTGGGTGCAGCCAGGGTTGCAAAAAGTTCAGTAATGGTACGTGACTGTAAACAACGAGTGGGAAGTCACTGAAATGCTGTATATAGACAATGTATATGTACAGTATATTGTTGTAACATGTATATTGGTTCACTAAGGATGTACTTTTTTTTTTTACTGTCTCCATCTTTTACATCTGATTAAAAAACCATCAACTCCTAAGTCTGATGTGCCCCTTTTAAAACGTCTGTATCTACTCTGTCCTGGTTCCATGGAGGATTAAGTTCTCAAAAACGGGAGGGAACTTTAGAGGTCAGATCAGGGTTTAATCAAGGTGCAAGGTCACATGTTATTAATGGAAGTTAATTTTGATTTATCAGTTAGATGTTTGTTACTGCTGTATTTTTGTTTGTTTTTTTAAATGGATATTTATTTGGGGCTCATTTAATTTACATTTTAAGAATATTGTGTAATTTTATGAATAGTGTTTTTTTTTGTCTGACTTGGTTTTTAATATCCCAAGTTGGAAACACGTGTTCACACTTTTAACATATTTTCCCTTGAATTGATTTTATTTTGTAGATCTATTACTAAACCAAGTCAATATCAGTGGACACTATCTTATGGACAACACAGGAGGCAATTTGCACCTGTTCTGCTTAGAAACTGAAAACATTCTTGTTTAGATAAGATTGATTTGGGCTTGATGTGACTACCTGTTTTACTAGTCTGACAAGCTGTCAGTTAACATCCTGCTGTACAGCCAGCTGTAAAATAACTATCAGAAATGTCTCTGATTCGCTGATTATACATCAGCAAAGAAATTTCTTGCATTAAGGTAGCAGTCCCCTCATTCTTTATCAACTACTGGATAGGCTCAGAGTTTATCACACATTTAATCATGGAATTACTCATCAGCAGAACTAAATGGGGCTTGTACAGACACCATTGAGGCATATTAGTTTTTGTATTTAAAAATCAAAACAAATTGATTAATTTTGTTTACTCCTCATGGAATTGAAAAATGAAACAGAGCATACACACAGAAAGAAAAGAAAGAAAGAAAGAAAGAAAGGAGAACTTCAGAAGTGAAAAATGCTAATGTTTTTATGGCCTATAGATTTTGGGATCAGTTTGAGAGAAGACTGATTTTTTTCTTGGCAAATGTAATTTTGTGAATATAGATTGTATCTGATAGTATCAGTATCAATATGTTGGTGACAAATATTTGCTCATTACATAGAGCTGGAGATTTTGAAGAGACCTTTCAAGGGACATAACTTGTGTACTACACTCAGCTCCTGCAGATTATCAGAAGGATGGTTACACCCTCTAGCGGCACTACGCTGAACATAATGTTCTTTGACGTCACCGCGTAACGTGTCTCCGTACAATGTGTACGGAAGTGTTACTACCAGCCTCCACTGTTGTCAGACAGTTATCACTTCATACTCGGTCTTCAGGAATGAGAACATATTGTGATGAGGTTGTAGACAGCCACACTGACGGGTTTCCACAGTATGTTTCTAGAATGGTTTTTCTTCATAGAAAGCAGCGGGTAGTTTGTCTAGTTTGCGTTTGATAAAAGTTTTCAGCGGGTTAGAGGGAGTCCACAATGAGCACTCAAGATGTACTGAGGAATGCGTCCACTCTAGCATCGTATAATGTGTTGTTACAGGTACGTGAACACGCACAGCTGGACTATAACACCACACCAGCCCAGTGTTTCAAAGTTTTGCAAGTTAATATATGTCGGCTTGATCTGTTTTTCACTGTTGTTGTTTTTTTGTTTTTTTTTTAATCTTTTTTTTTTTATCTTAGGTGATGTTCCGTGTGCTCACCTTCTTACTGAACGCATTCACACTGCGCTTTGTGTCCAAAGAGCTGATTGGAGTCGTCAATGTCAGGTAAATATGATAAGTTCTGTGATGGGAACACAGTGTCAGCAGCCAAGACAAGAGGGAGCACAATGCCTCCACAATTCACTGCACCAGCAGCTGCTGTAACGCGTGTTTTCCTGTGTCTTTATTATGCAGGCTTACATTACTGTACTCCACATTAGTATTTTTATCCAGAGAGGCTTTCCGGAGAGCTTGTCTGAGTGGGGGATCTGGGACAAACCACAGCTGGAGACAAGTTATCAACCTGCTATGGCTGACGTGAGTTGAATTTACAACATCATTTCACAGAGGAGTGTTCATTTGATCTTGTGTATTCATGCTGGATGTTTGCCTGTGTGTCTTTCCCTTTCTTACCTCTCAGGCTGCCTCTCGGTGTGTTATGGGCAACCCTGCTGGTCTGTGTGTGGCTGTGGCTCCTGGAGGTCCCAGATCCCCAGACTGTCCCGTACTACGGCCCTGCTGTGGTGTTGTTTGCCTTGGCAGGAGTGCAGGAGCTTCTGGCTGAGCCCCTCTGGGTCCTGGCTCAGGCTCACATGTTTGTCCACCTGAAGGTGGTTGCTGAAAGCTTAGCAATGATTGCTAAGTGCAGTATAACTGTAGTGCTGGTGGTGTCTGCCCCTGAATGGGGCCTCTACATCTTCTCTGCTGCTCATGTAAGAAATCATCCGAAGTCTTTGTCATTATTTCATAAAATATGTCTCTTATAGTCACTAATTTTAATATTTTCATAGTTGATGTACACAGGATTCCTGGTGCTGTGCTATGGTCTTTACTTTATTCGTTTCTTGGGCTCTAAAGAAGCAAACAAAAAGAGTTTTCCCCTGCACCGTGTTGGAGATCTCTTGCCCTGTAGAGCAGATGGAGAGGTAGTGGAGCTGCGCAGTTTATCACACAAAATCAAAAAATCCACAAAATAACACTGATGAGTTTCAAGATGTGCTGTTTATCGTAAAGGACTAATTATCCCTGCGTTGTTTTCTAGCCGCTGGTTGATTGGACTTTAGCCCGGCTCACATGGAGCTTCTTCAAGCAGTCGTTCCTGAAGCAGATCCTGACAGAGGGTGAGCGTTACGTCATGACCTTCTTGAACGTTCTCAGCTTTGGAGACCAGGGTGTTTATGATATCGTCAATAATCTGGGCTCCATGGTGGCACGCTTCATCTTCTTACCCATCGAGGAAAGCTTCTACATCTTCTTTGCCAAAGTGCTGGAGAGAGGACGTGCTGTCAAAAGTCAGAAACAGGTGTGAATTTTGGAAATAAACACCAACATGTCTTTGTGAATGGCTAGTGTGAGAACCAGTGTTCAGTTTTACTTTGTATTGTGTCTACAGGAAGAAGTTGCCATTGCAGCAGATGTCCTGGAGTGTCTGCTCAAGCTGGTGTTGGTGATTGGTCTGATTATCTCAGTGTTTGGCTACGCCTTCTCACACTTGGCTCTGGATATTTATGGCGGCTCTATGCTGAGCAGTGGAGCAGGTCAGTGAACAATGACCCAGTCACAGAGACACCAAGATATGACACATAACAAGATATGAAATTATATTTTGTTTGGTATTTTAGTTATATTATGCTTAACTTTGTTAAAGGGCCGACTTTGCTACGATGCTACAGCTGCTACGTCCTCCTGCTCGCTGTAAATGGTGTAACAGAGTGTTTTGTATTTGCTGCCATGAGCCAACAAGAGGTTGACAAGTAAGAACGTAAAAATACACAGAGACACAAATACAGTTATTACACAGCATCTAACCTGTGAGTTTACTCTGTGGTTTTGTCCTCAGGTACAACCTGGTGATGCTGGCTCTGTCTGTGTCCTTCCTCTTCTTGTCCTACTTGCTGACGTGGTGGGCTGGCGGTGTTGGTTTTATACTGGCAAACTGCCTCAACATGGGCCTCCGCATCTTACACAGCCTGCTTTACATACACCACTACTTCCAGTTCAGTCAGTGGAAACCACTGCGAGGCCTCCTGCCCTCCCCGTTTCTACTACTGGCACTTGCTGTCAGTGCAGTTGTCACAGCAGTTTCTGAGGTACAAGAGAATCATGCCTCTTCATTCTCCACTCATGTGGGGCCATTACATTGCAGTGCATTCATTTTGAGGCAAAAACTGTAAAACAGTTTAAATGAACTGAAACAGATTGAGGGTGTTTTTGTAAACTGTGTTTAATCCTGTTCAAATCAGTGCCCCTAACTTGAACTTTTCTCATTCTCTGGTTTCAGAGTGTTTTCTGCTGTGACAGCGGCTGGTTGCTGAGGCTGGTCCATATTGGCATTGGAGCAGTGTGTCTACTTGGTGTGTTTGTTGCTGTTCTTCTCACAGAGACTCGTCTTATTCAGTTTGTGAGGACTCAGCTCTTGCCCCAGTACAGAAAAAAACACACGTAAATATGACTAAAAAAGGAAGAAAACTTGTGTTCCGCTACAAAGAGTAGTTAAAAAAGCTATTGATAATAGACCTCTTGTGTATGTGCGCGTGCACACATACACACGCCACATGGCTGTTTGAGGGTTAAGACTTGGTTTAAGGGTTGGGGTTAAGGTTAGGGTAAGCGGCTAGGGAATGCATTGTGTCAATCATGGGTCAACATCAATGTAATTAAAAACAAGGATGTGTGCGTGTATGTGTGTGTGTGCGTGTGTGTGTGTGCGTGTGTGTGTGTGTGTGTGTGTGTGTGTGTGTGTGATGTTTTCATTGTAACATTCCTGTCTTGCTACATGCAAGTACGAAGAAACATGGCAGGACTTATTTTGGGATCTAATTGTGGGTGACAAAGAAGATGATTGTATTATAAGACTGAAACTGATAAGGATTTGTTTACAGTGATGGTTTGTCCTACACAAATAAAACAAGGCAATTTAATTCATATTTGTAGTTCTATAATTAAAAAGTATGAAATGTTGGGGGTCAAATGACCAAAAATCTGCATTTGTAATATTTTCCTTTCACTATTTTGGAGGTTTCCAGCTGTTTTTCAGGCCTTTAACATGGGACATGAGACAACAAATAAAACCTGTATAAATTATGGACACTTGCTTCAGACATAGATGATATATTATATATATATTTAATCTGACTAATTTAAATTTGGGTTCATAAAACAATCAAGGACTTCAGTTGCAGTTTGTTTATAAAAAGCTGTTTAGATTTATTTTAACACTTTGTTTTTGGATTTCAGTTGTCTCATAAAATGTGATGTCCACAAGCCTGTTATCATAACCATTGTTTTTTCTGTTATGTACTCTACAAATGATGCATACGGTTCCTCTACTTAAGGTTCACCTAAGTTTTAAAAAAATGTGCCATTTTCATTGCTCCAAATGAATATTGTCACAAAGTATACACTTTGCACGCTATGCTTGTTTTACACTTTTTGTCTTTTCCTTTTTACTCTATTAGAGCTTAAAAGCTTGATATCACCAATTTATTGACATGTTGCTGGGAAACTAGTTATTTGTTGGTCTTTCATCTGTACTAATCACCACTGGTTTTAAGGTCCCTAAAGGCGGAATAATGATGTAATTATGGAGAATAAGCAGGAAGGGGTGGGAACAGCATTCTTGTAAGGCAATGCAATGCTCATTCTACTTCTCTCTTTCGTTATGCATTTACAGATGTTTGCATGTGAGTCTGACATGGTACAAAGTTTGCCAGGAAGTTTGATGTCTTAAGACAGACAGCTACTTATCTATTGAGGCATATCATATGACTGAACTTTGAATCCAATCTTCCCTGCTTGCTTGTTACCAGTGCTGTTAGAAAGTGGTGGTTAGACTGCAGGAGGGAGGAGGAGGAGGAGGAGGAGGATACACAGACAGACGTTTGTCATGTTCTTGCATCTCTGGGATTCATTTTGGGAGGTGTATTACCACCAGTTGTAGCAGTGACCTCATCATTTGACCCTGAGAAAAAGTGGAGGCAGAGAGACAGAAAAAAGGAGGAGCCCGTGCACTCGTTGCGTCATTTATTAGTCTTAAGAACAGATTTATTGTCCACTGGGGAATCTCTGCTTGGTTGTGTATATATGTGAGTCTGTGCTGTGCTGGGCTGGACGTACAGGAGAAAAAAGAGCAACAGCTGAGAGAGAGGAGAATTTCTCACAGGATATCTTCAACTACTCAACCATCATGTCTCAGGTAAGTCCACAGGATATATTTTCTCATATTGTTGAAAGAATTGTTGTCAGAAATCTCTGATGTGTTGTTGTACCTCTTACTTTTTATTGCCCTTCAGCCAGGTCAGGAAGAAGATGAACAAATGCAGCGCCCTGAAGTGAGAGAGGAGGATCTGACTGAAACAAAGAACAAACTGGGTTTTGGGGAGCCAGCAAAGAGCAAGACAATTGAAGTAATGGAGGAGTGCGGTGAGGACACACACACACACACACACACACACACACACACATATATACATATATATATATATAAATATACAACCATATGATTTGACACTATTCTTATAGATGGAATTGAAAGCAAACAGTCTTTTTTTTTCCAGTATCTGGTTAAGCTAAGATTAAATTTTGGCAGTGAGTGTGTGTGAGGAGTGTTTCTCATGATGCTCAAGTTTCCACTCCATATACAGAGAGGAAAGGAGGGTTATAATGATGGGAGATTCCTATCTAACTGTGATCTCTCTCTCGCTTCCAGTGAGATGAGAAATGAAGTGTGTGTGTTTATAAAAAGCATATCAACAGTCTTACGCAACCTTTATCCCTGCCTCATTAACAGTGAAATATACTGACTGTAGTTTATTTTCCTTCACAGAGAAAATGGGTAAAACTGCTCCCTCTGTGTTCAGTGGCGTGAGGTCGGGAGCAGAGACTGTTCTCAACACGCGCTCGTCTCGACCAGTCAGAAAGTAGCAGGAGACTTCCTGACCATGATAGGACAACACCTGTTCCATGTTAGGGGTTTAGTGTCAGTTGTTTTCCAGCTGAACTTCAGTCCATGAAAAATCCTGCTAAAAGCCCTTTCTTTAGTGGCCTCATGTTGTTAATCAGAGTCCTGAGGTTTTTTACACTACAACAGTTTAATAATGGTCTGTTTTTGTACTTACATTTAACTGAGACTAGTTCCTAATACACCCATTCATTTCTATATACATATACAATTTTTAAAATAGAAATTTTTTGTTTATTTGGCCATTGTTGTGGTTTCTTCTCACTGGCATTCCCTCACTTTTTAATGGTGCAGGGTACTAAAAAAAACAAAAGACAATGCCATATGCAATTGATACATTTCAACATATGAATAAAAGAACTGCAAAACATTAATGAGCCTTACAAGCATTTCTAGATTTATATATTAAAAATAAACATATGATTTTGCCTGGACTGTGATGGATTGTCAGATGTCACAATTATGGCAAAAATTTGAAAAGCTTGAAACCTCTTGGAAACATGCTAGTGCCAGTAAATGTCAGTAAAATGTAACAATCCAAGCCAAAAATATTAAAGAAAACTTGAGTACATTTGTGTTTTTCCTTTTTATTCAAAAAATTATTTTCATCAACAAACGGAATGAATAAAACTTAGAATTTATTAGTACTACTACAGTAAATGTGGCAGAAGCAAGGCCACTAGAAGGAGCCATGGAGGAGAATGACATTTTGGAAAAACAAATGCAAAGAAACAAAACATGAAACAAGAATGAAGACATAAAGTGAACCATGTAACAACTGGTTGATAACATGTAGAAGAAGAAAAAAAAAAATAGAAATCCAGTTTTATTTCATAAACTTGTGATGTTGGTCTTGGAGGATTTTGGCGGAAGACTTGGCGTCGTAGAACAGCTCGTTGATTTCCTCCACCTGCTCCCTCTCCACGGTCTCTTTCCCCTGAACACGGCCCAGCAGACTGGCTGGCGTCAGCAGCTGCACAGCGTACCTGCGAGGAAACCGGAGCCACTCAGTATGCTCACATAACAGTATGTATCCAGTAAATGCCAGAATTTCTTCACACTATTCAGTGACACACACTAAAACGTTCATCTTTACCTGAGTGTGGTCTTTGTGCCAATCTCTGCCAGGTGTGTGAGTGCTTCCTCGCTGATATTGATCCCCTCAGTCTGTGCACGGATCTTGATGATCTACAAACCACAGCCTGATGAGTGACACATGCTCAGGCAAGATGTCGTACATCACACGTGGAGATACTGTGACTCTCAGACTCACCTGCTTCATCTCCTGTGGCGTGTACAACATGGTGCGGATTATCATTACTCTGTCCAGTAAATCCAGAGGAATCCCATGTGGGGAGCTGATGTCCTCTGTCCCCCTGGTGAACAACAGGTGATTGTTAATACTACAAATCTTACATCTTAGCAAGAAAATGACTCTGTTCTGTTTCATTTTAAGATTGTGTTTCTTGCCCTTAAGCACATTTTAGACGTTTTACCTGATTAAACAGTTTCCCCTGTTAGAAGCAAACACAACAATGGGGGCGATGGTGCTCTCGAGTGCTCGGTGAAGGTAGGTGAAGCATTCTATGTCCAGCATGTGCACCTCGTCCACAAATAGCACACCAGGTACGAGCTCAGCTACGCCTTGGTCAATGTAGCGGTTCACAACCTTGTTGATCTCGGCACGCAGCTTATCTGAAATGGGAAAAGGGATAAAAGAGCATTGATTGAAACAACAGAAGTCAAGTAGCGGCTTGGTGTGGACTGGGGTAGTTGTAGTTTTTCCCTACCTGTGATTTCTGTCTTTTTTGGCTTCATCAGTTGTCCCATCATGGAAAGAATGTCCTGGCCTCCCTAAGATCAAATAGTGAGCATTTATTTTAAAAATATAGGGAATAACTCGGTAAGATATAAACAGCTGCACTGGTATTAACACAATGCTACAGGACATTTGCAGTTATGTACCTGGGGTCTGGCATTTGCAACATCCAGGTCGTGCAATGTAACATCTTGGACTATCTCCTTCTTTTTGTGAACATCACCTTTGGGAAGCGGCACATATTCCTCAGCCTCCAGATCGAACTCTGTTGCAAAGGTGTCACAACGACCTTGTCTCTGCAAAGACAGAGTAATACCAAAGTGTGTTAATAATAATAATAAAAAAAAAACTAAACAACAAACAAACAAACAAAACCCCTGCTGTTTAACAAAAATGAATCTCTGGAGAACAGAGAAACAAAGACAGCACACGACAGGAGGGAGAGCAGGTGTATGATTGAACCCAGTGCCCGCCCATCGCATTGAGCAGGCCATGTGGCTGAGGGATGAAAGGCTTTGAGAAGGCAGGTCATGAGATGGCTGTCAACAGTAACAAATGTGTTGTCCAGCCCTCCTTCTCTGGCCTCTGACTAGAGCCGACCTGCGCCCCCGGCCCACCTGCACTGATTAAAGGAGCCATCATCGCAACCTGTCAACACAGGCCACAAGCCCCGCTGGTGGAAAAGAGAAATTGTGGGAGATGATGAGATAGAGGGAGCGCAAAGAGCTGCAGGAATGAGAGACCCTCATTCCACAGTACAGTAGAAATGCAGCAGAGCTTTCATGCAGAGCTGAGAGAGATGAAAGAACATCACCATGAAGGACAAAAGAGGACAGGCAGCATAGAAAAGCTTTGGCCTAACAAAGAATTTCTTTAAATTTTTGCTTGAAATATTTAATTTGTTGAAACTATCAAGAAAAAAAAAAAAAAAAAAAAAAAAAAGTCAGGTGAAATAAAACGGCTGGCTGATCAGAATTCATGACAATTGTGAGGTAGTGACACATGAAAGTGATATAGTAATACCTTGACAGCGCCACTGTTGGCTTCAATGTAGATGACGTCTCCCACTTCCACACGCTCTTTGTGAAGACTCTCATAAATACTGGGATCCAGCTAAGGAAAGAAGACAAGAGATTTTTCCT